GCAGTGGCAAGTAGGGTTGTACATCTCTGTGTGATAGACGATTCGATTCGCATCTAGATACAAAGGTTACGATTCGATAAAAAAACGATTTATTTTAAAAACAGAACGATTTGATTCGATTCGATACAGTGGAAGAGCGATTTGGTTCGATTCGATTCAACTTTATATAATTCTACAGTTTAACATTTGTTGAATGTAGACAAATATTAATTATGAACAAAAAGGGCCATTTCTATAAATGTGATATTCTTACATTATTTTTAAATTTGTAAAAGTCTACACATATCATATCTAAAAGCGTGCAGTAAGGCACTGGCAAAAATAAAGTAAAAAGCCAAACAACAGAATCACATGTCAAATGTGTTGATTTTTAGACATGGACCTAAAAAGACCAGCTAAAAGAATATTTCTTTGTTTGATGGGATCAATATAAAATGAGAAAATAAAGAAAAATTATAAAATGCACAAATGATTACAGCAGCATGTAATAAAAAAAATAGGAATAAGCTACAGTAAGCACAAAGCACCTGTGCAATAACCTGTCACACACCCTGTGTAGTTTGGTAGTTATGTGCAATATATATCATGTGCATTTTAGCTTATATTACATTACTACCTTGAAATACTTATTCACACAAATTCATTCTGCTTCACTGTAAAAAATCTACAATGTTGTTTACCATTTTTCTCTTCAGAAACTTTGTAAATATTATAATTACTTTTTCACTTTTTGGTAGTTTATTTTGTACCCTTATTGCATGCTTTAGTATTTCTTGTTTGCTTGTTTTTTAGCAAGTCAAATCGGTTCTTCTCATCCTGAGCATTTCATTGTGTTAACCTTGCATATGACAAATAAACACAACTTGAACTTGAACTTAATAATACAAAAACATAATGCAAGAACAGTACGCCTAACAACAGCAGCACGAACATGAGTTTGTGTGAGCAGGTGGGCACAGATTAATATAACATCATGTAATTTAAACAGCAGCATGAGATCAGATCAGCAGCATGGATAATCAGCAGCACATATCAACAGTCAAAGTGCCGATTACATGTATAAGAGAAATCAAAGTGCAGCTTTTTGACCTGGTGAGGTAGTCTGAACAAAAGTAATGTCCTGCATTTCTACATTCACGTCAGGTTCAATCTGAACTCAAAAACAGTGAAGTAGTTCCCTTCCTTATGTTTGTATGTTTACCTATATTTTTATTAATCATAATCACTGTCCTCATCTTTTTTTTTTGCAGCAGATTTTTCTTAATGAAAATCAGCTGATCCACATGCTCATGTTTGAGTAGACTGTGTTTTGTGGAAACAATATCTCCTGCAGAGCTGAAAACTCTCTCAGATGCCACACTGGTGGCCAGTATGCAGAGATACATTTTAGCCACAGATGACAGCACTGCAACTGTAGTGGGTTTTTGTTCAGGGGCAAAGGATCACGCTCTCTGTACCTCTTGACTTCTTCATTGGCCTGGTCCCTCACAGATCTAGATGCCGTCCTTACTTGAAAGTCTTCTCCCAACAGCTGGTCCAGGGCTGACATGTTCTTCTTTTTACAAGGAGGTTTATCATCTGAAATAGAAAACAAGAACCATATATTACTGGCTATGTTTGCCATGAAGTTTTTTAATTGACTACCATTTTATGTATAAATCATTTGATGTTCAGAATTTATTTATGTAAGGACTCGTGTACATATGTAAAATAGGTATCATTATCATCATCATCATTATTATTTAACTCTTTCTTTGCATGCAGATCCTCTCATTATAGTGAATGTGTTTTATACTGATACTATGACTGCAGCACAAGTTTAAGACAAAGTCTTCTCGTTCTTGATCACAAGTTATAAAACAGACAAACCTTTATGCTCATCTTGGGTCTGGGGTGCATCAATGCAGACGTCCGGATCTCCATTTTCAGGATCATTCTGACATGGATCAGTCTGCACTGGACCTCTCTGAACTGAACCCCCCGTTACCTAGAAATAAAACATGAAATTACATTTAGTGTACAGTATGGTTAAATGCAGTGTAAAGAATCAAATAAAGAGTAGTCAGAATAAATCTAATGACAGCAACAAAGCACAGCAGACTGTAACTGAATGTACTGTAATATGTATTTTGACAGTGTGTTGGGGGATTTACCTTGTGATGCAGGGATGTTGCTTCTGCTGATATGCTTGTGAATGTCCTCTCTGCGTCATGGTTACTGAGGAAGGGCAGGGACTTAAAACGGGGGTCCAGAGCTGCTGCAGTGTGGAAGAGATCTTCAAGGCCTGTGTAGCGTTTCTCCAAGTCATTCTTGAACGCCTGCTTCATCTCTCTGATTAACACTGAGTCTTCATCTGATGGTTCAAAGTTCTTTTTAAGCTTTGCTTTTACAGGAAGAATCATTGAGAGTGTGGGTCGCTTGTCTTCAGACATGCTGGTAGTCACAAGTTTGACCGGCGCCATCAGTTTGACAATGTCTTCAATGTCGCAGAAGTCTTTGTCCTTGAGAGTATTCACCTCTTCTCCTTTTCTGCGGTCCTTGGACATGAGTGCTGCAGAAATCGCAGGATGTTGCTCAAAAAAGCGTTCAAGCATGTCATGGGAGCTATTCCACTGCATGGATACATCTTGGATGAGTTTGTGGGAAGGCAAGGCTAGTTGTTTCTGTTTCTCTTGAAGGATTTCTCCTGCCCTCACACTACGATGAAAAAAGGCAACGGCTTTCCTCACTCTCCCCAGCAACCTTGCTACTGTGTCAACTTTAAAGGCTTTCTGTGTGGTGAGATTAATAGTTTGTGCAAAGTACATGAGGTGAGGGGTCATCTCTGCTTCCACTCCAGCTAATACCATGTTTGTGGCATTGTCTGTCACCAGGGCTGGATCTTTATCAAGAAGGTTCCAGTCAACACATGCCTGTTTTAGCAGAGCACCAATGTTTTTCCCAGTGTGGGATCCTTTGAATGCCCTGGTTTGCAACACATGCACATTTACCTTCCAGTCTGGAGAGATGTAGTGGACAGTGATGGTCACATAAGACTCAGTGGAGCATGATGTCCAGGCATCGGTTGTAAAAGCAACTCGCTCTGCATGTGCCAATTCTTTTTCAACTTGGCTCTTCACTTGGGCATACAACGCTGTCATGCATGTGTTTGTGATATGCTGCCGGGACGGAATCTTATATCTGGGCTCTAACGTATGAATCAAATCCTGAAATCCTTCCCCCTCCACTATATTGTACGGCCATAAGCCCTTAGCTATGAAACGGGTTATTGATGCCGTTATATCCTTAGCTCATTATGAACTGTCGCTGAGTTGCCCGTAAAATTTAGTGATAACGTTACCCGTCGCTCTCTGTGTGGCAGCTGCCTGCTCCTGCTCGTTGTTATGGGGCTTGAGAAGTTCGCCATACTCCTCTGTGTTTTCTCATTGCATGTTGGTCAAGGTTTGTTGTGCTACCAGTGTACTTCAGAGGTGCTCTGCATAGCTTACAAATAGCATGGTTTTTGTCGAGTTTTCCGTCCTTCTTGTAAAACCAGAAAACGTTCCACACTTTAGACTTTTGTCTGGCTGCTGTATTGAAAATCTTTCTCGGTGACCCGCTAACGCTGCTACTATTTACATCCATTCTCGTTGTCTTGGTGAGCTACGGAGCATGCGTGAGAATAGCTTTGCGGGCATTTCCGACTCTCGCGTTGTTTTATAAACGCACTGTCAACCGAGCTAGTCTCGCGATACCCGGTTCATGTCTCTTCAACCGATTCATCTCAGCATTTGTGGCTGGTTTATGTCGATTTATACAGCTGCTACCGACACAACCATATCGCTAGCTTGTCAAACCCGACATCCGGTCGTATCGGTTTATCTATAACAACCCTAGTCGCAGGTTGTCACTGGCGAGGCTCATGTAACTTTACATCTACGAAAGACTGTATGTGAACTCTGTCCTTGCAAATAAACTGGGTTGATTTATTTTTCCTGTTGTCGTGTGTGAGCTTCTCTTCATTAAGCAGATGATGAAAGGATATTTATTTTATTCAACAGATGTGAACCATGTGGAGGTGTGTTTGTTCCATCTGAAGTCCACAACCATCTCCTGTAGGTGTCATTTGAATCATTGCTTTCTGAATTGTTCATTAAATTCTATCTAGTGGTTCATAAAACATTGTGGTAAGACATACAGTACACACAAAGACAAACACGTGGGGGTTGGGGATCACTGGCTTTGGTGGCAAGTGATAATTAGTAAAATTGTTAAAACATATTTATTTTAAATGTTTTTTCTTTTTGTAAATCATGCACTTCTCTGACAGAAAATAAATCCATGCTTACCCACTCTGATATTACTGTGATGGTGAGGTTGGACGTTCATCGTTCAAGATTCTCAGGTGAAACGGTTCGAGGTGGTGCCAGTGTAGCTCGACCTTCCAGCTCTCTCAGATTCATGAGGCAGAGCCATTGATTTAAGCAGGTGTAAAGGCCTTTTTCCTGCTGAGGCTAATTTAATCATGTCCAAGGGCTACTAGATTATTCCACGATACCAACACCACAGGACACCTTCATGTCAGAAGAACCCACAGTAATTCTTTTACTTTCACCTTAAACTGCAAGAAAGAAACAGTGGACGTTACCAAAATGTTTAAACACAGAAAATGATTATGAAAAACATTTTTGCTCTGGAACTAAAGATGTAGAGCTTGAATGTGCCCTGAATTCATATTCCGCTCAGTTTTCTGTTTTAATATATTCATATTCTGAGCTCATTCTCCCAGAGCAATCCAATAAGAAAACTCTTTACTTTGTTTACTAAGTTAATTAAATTTAGAACAAAAAAAATGTGTCCTTTAAAGTTATTTAAAGGTTTCCTGTGTGTGTGTATGGTGTTAAAGGCGAGCATGCTCAGACTCATTTCAGTCTTTTTGTAAATGCGTGATTATTCCAATCTGTAGCTTAAGTCCAGGAACAGCAGAGGCATTAATTCCTTCAGACTGAGCGAGAGACGAGGAAAAATTCAGCATGGCTCACAAAAATGACAGTAAGTTTGATCCTTTGATTACTCATTCTAATTTTTATCACAGTTTTCTGTTAGTAGAGCTGATCATGAATGAGATTAATAATTAGACAGCAAGGATGTACGTAAATGAATACCATTAATATCACTAGATGACATAAAACAGCACTCAGAGAAACTGGATACCTTTTGCTTGTTATCATAGGAGCTCACCTTGATTATATTTTCATTTGCAGCACATTTGAGACCTAATTGCATCCCATCCCTTAATGATTCATATTTGAAATCTAAAAAATAAATAATGGTATAATAACTAATTCTGATTCTCACCTCAGGTTGCAAATGCAGGGTTTATATTCATGTGAAAAAGAGCTCAAATATGAATGAAAATTGTGTTTCAGGAAGAATGAAATTGATAAAAATTCCATAAGTGTACTTTTTTAACAAGTTAGATAAGCTTATTGGGTCTATTGTGCAATCTGTCAGGGATTTCTGATTGCAATAACAAGCAGATTAGTCTCACTGAGCCATTTTTCTCCCCCTCCCTTTCTTCTCCTTTAACTTTGCAGTTCAGTTCACCATCAGGGAATACAGCCCATCAGATGAACATGTGGTCATGTCGCTCTTTCGTGATGGGATTCTTGAGCATATATACCCGGCATTTTTCAAGGCCATGAGCAATCCAGATCATGTTGGTATAACTCTGAGCATTTCCATGGCTGGCTATGTGCTAGGAGGCAGCTCCTACTTCCAAGCTTTCCTTTTTGGCTGTACATGGGCTTGCCTCATTTATTACTGCTGCCATGACATCCATGATAGCTACATGAAAGGGAGACTAAGCACAGACATGGCTGACATTCAAGCCACTTACCTGGAAAACCCAGATAATGGATTCTGGGTGGCAGAAGCAGATGTCAATGGGCAGGCCAAGGTGGTGGGGATGGTGGCAGTAATGGGGAAGAGAGGGAAAGAAGAAGGAGTGAAGTCTGAGGACTGGAATGGGGGAGTGAGCACAGAAGATGTTCAAGATGTCGGGGATAGAAGTTATGGATTGATGTCTCACGTCGCTGTAAAGTTTTTGTGGCGCAACAAAAAACTGGGCTCTCAGCTGACCCTAAAGGCCTTGGATTTCTGCAAAGAGCGAGGCTATTCTTGCCTTACTGTGAATGTTAGCACACCACAGACCGCCGCCTTTTCCATGTACCATAAATTAGGCTTTGTTCAGACAGCATCCCACTGTAACATGCATGTCAACCAGTGGTTTGCCAAGCTAGCCAGAATAAATGTGATACAAATTGACAAGTTTATTTAAACAAAAAAAAGTCTATTACACTTGAAAAAGGATCAAGTTGTTATGAAGTGATGTTTTGTAAAAATTAAATATTTGGTATTTTATCAGCTTTGACATCAACCATTGATTGTGGAGAAAAAAGCAGGCCTTCTTTCGGAGAAGACTTAGAGCTAGTCAAATGAGGACACTTCATTGTTTTTCAGGCTTATCAAACAACTCTTTCTCAAACTGCATGAATGTATGTGCGCTTAGCATAAACCCGTATGTCCTCCACTGGCTCTGCTCAGTGTATTAGTCCACTGGCAGTGGAGTAAACTTTTGCCCTGTTTAAATGTGCCAATCAGGCAGACTGATACAGTCTCACCCTTAATATCAAAAGTGCCTTTAAAGTATTCACATCCTTGTCCTGGTGTGAGTTATATAGATATCTGAAACTGAACCAACTGTAGAGTATGGATTATTTTAAAATTAATGTTACAATAATTTAAGGATTAAATGCACGTCTTGTTATCAGAAACTGCTGGTGATTATACTGCTGCCATAAGAATGGTCAAAGACCTGTTTTATGATGCCTGTGATAATTTTGACGTTTCTAATGTGAGGCTGTTATGCTGCTGGGTTGGACAGGACCCCTTAGCAAAAAATATATTAATTATTAGTGGAATTCTTCCAGGTAAAAAATGCTTTATTATAATAATAATGGCTAATGTAGCATTCTTTTGAACAAGCAAGTTGGTTTTCAACAAAAGTTACTTTATAAGCCTGAAAAAACAATGTGAAATAAAAGTAGGTCCTTGTTTGGCTAACCATTAGCTGTGCCTTGAGGAAGACTTCTGCCGTTTTCTTCTGTGCACTTTGACTGACAAGAAAAATGCCTGGACTAACCCTAACACAGTTTAAGTTTGACTGTTATCACTGATTAGTTGAGATAATTTATATTTTTCGTATTATTTAATGCAAAAAAAATAAAAATAAATCCAGTATATGATACCAGTTCTTTGGCCCTCTATCATGATAATCTTGAGAAAAATAAACAAATTTGGGGTTATTCTCACTACTGTGCTCATTTTTTATATTTTTTTGTGTATGTTTTCTTACCTTGATGTATTATGTATACCTGATTCATCCTTTGCCCACACACATTACAATTAGTCATCTTCTGTGGTTAACAGGGCTTATTATTAGCAAATGGCCAAATCTCAAATCTGAATTACTAAACATAATCACATTTAGTTATTTGTTTTTCTCCTGTCCAATAAAGAGAGTAACATGGTTTGTAAGAATGGAGAAACTGAGTCATTTAGAAGCAGGAGAACTTTCTCTTAAGCCTCTTTCCAGGGAGAAGTTGAATCCTCCTGCCTCAGAGGAATTAATGCCAGCTGACTTCTAAGACCTCACAACTCTTTGCTTAAAATACCAATGAAAAATGCAGTAGTATCAGGACATGGGAGGGCTTAAAATTCTTTGGAGCTAAAAAGACTCTGGGTGTGTATGAGTGTGGCATTAAAATCAGGATAAGGGCTTCACTATTCTGCAGTGCAAGCCGGTCATTTTACCCAGAGCAAATACTGAGATTATTGATACCAATCAAGTCTTAGCGTTTCTGTTGATGGTCTTTGGAATACAATAGAAGTCATGGAAGAAACATACAGTTCATTATTTTTCTGAAAACAAGTTTTAAACAATCGCATGTGGTCTGTGAGATCAACTGAGCAATTTAGATTTACTGATCTCATTTTTAACCTGCACTGCATCAGAAAGTTTCTAAAGGTAATTCAAAATTTCAGTTAATTATTATTAGCAGCAGCTAATTTTAGCCCTACAGGGTAAAGCATCATGAACCCAAAGTGTGCCTGGACAGGTGTGACCTAAATGAGCTTCAAGAGGGAGTCCTGAATGGATAGAGTAGCTTGGCAGTGAGGTACACAAACCATCGGGGGCCTTCAGGCATCAATCATTCCTGCTGAGGCTGTCAGAAAAACATTTGGCTGGTGGCCAGCAGGCAGGTGCCGAACTCGCCAAATGCAGATGAGACTTAATGCTGTCTAACCTGTTGTCATCCTCTCACAATTACGGATACAACTGGCCTCAAGCAAATGACAGCTTAATTGCAATTCCACTCAGACAAATGCTGCATACATGAATCTGTTGTCAATTTCTTGGCGTTTGATGAGAAAGCTTCACCAATACCTCATAAAGTTCTTGTATTCTTCAAAGACATGCATATGGTCTGCTAGAGTTTGATCATATTATGATTAGAAGGGACATACTTAGAGCTGTTTTGGTCAAACCTTGTACATGTTGTTATGTGAGAATTTACAAAATGTGTTAGCTCTAAGAATATATGTTGGAAAACTCACAGCTTCACCTAAATCCAAATTTACTGCACAATCTGGACATTACATTTGGATGGTTTAGTCATTATTGCATTTACATGTCAATTGAGTGTGACAGTCATTTAAAAATGGGTTGAATTTCTTTTGTATCCAATCAATGAATTTTTCCCCAAAACCTTTATTTATACAGATTATTCTCATTGAGCCTCGAGGACTCGTTTACAAGAGAGACCTGTTTTAAACAAAGAACACAGATGAGTTACAGACAACAATAGACAATCATATAAAAAGCATATCAAATGATAAGTAAGTAGAAGAAATTATATAAAAATGAAACAAAAAAATCTACATTATAAAGCAATGGAAAATAATAAAAACAGGAACATGTCTATGTTGGTTTTTACCATGAACGTAACGGTTGTTTAAAATCTCTTAGAGACTGTAAAGACGCTCTTATCTGCTGTGCTGTATTGCTCGATGTTCCACAACTGTATCTTGCCCTTTATCTGTATCTGCTTGGCTTTTGGATCCGCTTGCCTTTTGGTATCAACAAGTACAGAGTGAACTAAGTCAGAGAATGTATTTAATTTTTTTTGTGTATGGGACATGAACTAACAGGGAGCTGCTGGTGGGTGTGTCCCACCTGATGACAAGATCACAAGTAAACTGGAATGGCAGAAGAAAATAATAAAACAACTCCATAAAAGGACTTCCAAGAAATTAAGACATCAGTTTGAACTAGTGTAGACAAAGAACTATAAGAATGTGTGACACATCTCTGGGAGGAGCTTTTGTGTTTAAATACAGAAGATGCTGAAGTCTCCAGTGAGACGCATCTTGGGTTTTTGTTGTATCTCTGTTGCTTTGGGGTAAGAGCGTCTCCTTTCAGCTGAAAGCTTTAATAAATGTTGGTAATACTTTTTACCTTGAATCTCTCTGACTGATTATTGTGTCTTTTCCCCATGTATCTCCGAACCAATGAGAGGAACAGGTGAATAGGCTGAAAAATCCGAGTTGTTGTGTTGATTTTCCTCAACAATTTTGGTGCCGCAACCCGGGATACTGGAGAAGGATGATTGGTAACCGGAGTATTGGACATCAACACGGTTGTTCAGTGTGGTTCCACAGGCCGGCAAACAGGTAAGAGGAACTATATTTATCCTCTCTGTGGCATTACACTGAGTGATCGTGTTGTAAAATGTTTTTGTCAGTAGAGATTGAGTATAAAAGTTTTTTTTGAAGTAATATATCATTTGTAAGCTTGTGTAAGGATTAGAAAATACAAGTTGTGATTAAAAGAGGCAAGTCAGGGACCTGGCCTGGGGTCTGGGACCCCTGTGTGAGTCAATGAAGTCGGGGACTTCTGTCAGTCGGGAGTGGTGCCCCAAACTTCTTCTTGGACACAGGGGAAGGTAGTCAGGTTGGATTGAGTTTTCCTGTGGAACGTGACTACCCACAAATAAGAACAAGAGTTGACCACACATGTGTGAGAACTGTCAGAGAAACTTAAATGGTGATGACAGTTTCCGATGATTATTGAAGTGTATTTCTTGAACTGTCAGAGAAACTTAAATGGTGATGATAGTTTCCAATGATTAGTGAAGTGTATTTTTTTTACTATAAGATAAACTTAAATGGTGATGACAGATTCTGATGATTATTGAAGAAAGGTGTATTTTTTGTGAGAAACAAATTGAAAGCTGTCCAAAACGAGATCAGATGAGAAAGAGTCACTGAGTGAAAGAGCTGCGCAGCAAGAGTGTGTGTGTGTTTGAGGAAAAGTTCTTTACAGTGTGATTTTGGTGGTTTAATTGATTCGCCGCCAAGTGAGCTTGAGTTTTCTCACCACCGAGTGAGAAAACAAGTCATTTTGTGTAAAACATAACATTATACAGACAAAACGTTACAAAATGAATTGTGAATTTGACACAGACATTGATGCTTCAGGCTGGGGTCAGGGACCCTGGCTCCCTCCCGAAACTCATATTGACAAATTAGTAACGTACCTGTTGGACCATGACGACTTGACAAAGAAAAAAATCAGAAAAAATAAAAGAGAAGATAACTCAAGCAGTAGTGAAACAGGAAGTCCCACTGAGTTCATGCAAACCTTTAGGAGGATTTTTACTAAAACAACTGCGAACAGTGAGACAGGAAGTAACAAAAAATATGCAGAAAGAACAAGAAGCGAGCGGGCTAGGAAAAAGAAAATGTAAAAAGGACAGAGAAAAAGAGGAGAAACAGTTGAAAAAGTGTGAAAAATTAATTGTGTCATGGCAAGGGATTAAACACACATTAGAGCAGGCAACACCGGAAATCAAGGGTAGAGCAGCCACACAGCAAGTGAAGTTGTCTCTTCCCCCCGTTCATCCAGGGCTGGAACAGACAGCCACAAAGGGAATGACCTCCGTTAACAGGGAGGAACCCCCCCCCCCCCCCCCCCAGGGGGCTGTACCCATCCATCGAACTAACACAGGGGACGCAGGTTTTAGAAAATATCAACACCAACCCATTTAGACAAGCAGCAGCACCTTCATGTGGACTGTTGAAGGAACAGCCTGAAAAGCTTGACCTGTTCAGCACCTCCTTGGCTCAAAACAAAGATTTTTCACCTTTTCCACTCATAAACAAAGAGGAACAGGGGGTGGCAGTCAGTCCAGCCTAAATTACAGCATGGGCTCAGGA